AAGGCTGTCCAGGCCTACACGAGATGAGGCAGGATAAAGAGGGATAATCCCCCTCGATCCCAAATCATTGAGGCCAATTTCTAGCCATGGAATAATGGCGCGTGTTCTTCTTGGCTTCGCAATTTATATAATTACTGTTGCATTACCTGAATTAAGAAGTTTTTAATTTTATTTCAAAGTAGAATCCATCCGGTTCAGATTCGTCCTGTTAGCGCATGACTTCTAAACACGATTCTGGCATGACGTCATTAATGAGTTACGAAATTTTGTTTTGACACAAATACTAGACGTATAGTCATTTAACTATGTAGAGCCAAACCCTGCACATAACGTTTTTTTTTCACAAACTGTAGGTGCAATACCAACACTATTTTTCTCGAAAATGGTACATGCTACCGAATTTCGACAAGTATACCTTTTTTTGTAGAATCCTTTAGAGTTTACAGAACCGTTTAGAAATGTATTAAATTTTTACTTTTAACATATTTTTTCTTCGATTTTGTACCCCTTCAATTACCTGTATCGGCGACACTACTTTCCAGAAAGAAACCTTTTGCACATTATTCTTAACGCCCAGTTTTTGATATTTTTATCTTTAGCCGATTTAAAAATAACAGGAAAACCATTTGGAAAGTAACAACTTCAACACACTGTATCTCGAAAACAGGGCGTCTAAGAAAAAAACTTTACATGAATTACCCCTATTATTTTTCCATGGGGAACTCGCACGCAAATTTTCTTTAAATATGAACGAGACACTCTGTATAAAAATGGAGATTATTATCTCCCATTGCCTGAAAATTATAACCCAGTTGCTCTTCTATCAAAGATATCTAAGATATTAGAAAGGGTAGTAAAAACTTTTGAAGAGACAATATTGCATACTCAAGTACAGTTGGAAAAATTTAATAATTACTTCAAATCAAGTAGACTTCTTCTAAATCTTTCAAAATCTGTTTTTGTTATTGTTTCGCCTCGAATTAGTTTATATGATTGTAGTTATTTAGTAAAATTGGAAAGAAAATCAATAGAACAAGTTTGTAGTCAAAATTTTTGGGTTTATATATAGATAACGCATTAAAGTTTTCCTCTAGTTGTTATGTATTGTATTGATTGTCAAAAATTACGAGTAGATCGAGAACATTGGCTTATTACCATGCAAACTTTGTTACAAAGGCATCTTATGGCATTATGTTTTGGAGTTCTTCTAGTCATTTTGGGAGAGTTTTAAGACTTCAAAAGAAAGCTATACACTATATTATGAGTGTATCACAAGTACATCTTGTAGAGACTTGTTTAAAAATTTGAATGTATTAACGCTTGCCAGCATATTTTAGAAATAGTATTGTATATAAAAAAAATAATATAAGTACATTTATAACAAATGATTATAATCATTTCCCCATAATACAAATGTTTTTTGCTTCACCATAAATTAAGACGATATCCATCAACTCCAAGTTGCTAATACACCCAAGCCATTTTTGACACTACCAAAAAGCTATTGTAAACACTATCGCAACGACGACTGTAAAATCGGATTTAAGTATTCGGAATCGCTGAAGCCACGTGGCTCTCCACGCGTATTACGAATGACGCTAGAGACTACAGTTGTCCAGCTAAGTGATGATTGAAATTGCTACAACTTCAATAATTTCTTTCTTGGAAACTATAAGGATTTTACAATCTATTTCCAAATTATTTTGGATAAGTAGTAAATCGTCCTGCATAGACGTAAAATTATAGTAAGTGCTACTGCTATAAAACTGATAGAGAATTTTACTATTTGTTTAGAGAATTATATTGTTTTTTATATGTCCTTACCTTATCCCCTATCTCGGCAAGAGATCACTCTGACTCATTATACTTTTGGAATAAAACAACTTGCAAACTATTATACATATAACTATTAAGTTTGTTACACTTCCAAAAATAAGTAGACTAACTTAGAGTGCAATTATTCCTATAAAATATTAAGTTACACGAGAGAAAATACTTTGCCCACCCATCTCAAAAAGCCACGAGTCGCCACAGCTATAAAGACTACTGACTTTCTAATCCTTTATATGCAGCATAGAACTTATTTCTACATAGAAATCAGATATCTCCTTTGGTTTTCGAAATTCTCAGCAGGGAAGTTTATATGGGCACTCTGATCGTTTTTGCTATAAGTCCAGTCATTTTTTACAGTGAAACCGTTGTTTCATGGCCTTTCTTATTTAAAAATTACAATTATTTTTACTTTTACCGCAGACAATCACAATTCTGTAGAAAATAAGATGATTGTTTTTAACCAGATTCTGGAGCTTGATGTCGTTTATGAAATATGCATTTAATTAATGCGTATTTCATATTAATATTTCAGCAAAATGCATTAAATTTAATGCATTTTGCTGAAAACGACGATACTTATATACATATACAGGGTGACCGACTGTGACGAGACATTATACATATTTCAGACTATTTTTAATAATCGCGTCCATCTTACCCTTCCGGAAGTTGACGTCATCTTCATTATTTTAAATGAAACACCCTGTATATTATTGCAATTTTGGATTCTACGTCAGTTTTTAGGTGAACTTTCATAAAGGTTTCCTATTCTTAAAATTAACCGTTTTTGATATATTTAATTTTTTTCAAAAAAAATTTAAAAAAGCACCGCCTAATTCAAAAAGATGTGTATTTTACAATAATAAAGTTAGGCGATAAAATTTATAGGGGACATAACTAAAACTCTAAGCTTCCCCTGCCATAATTTCAAAATGACTTAATTTCATACAGGGTGGTAGAAATTTAATGCCTAATTTTGTCAACTTTCAACCATCTTTACTTTTTTTTTTTTTAATGGAACACCCTGTATATTTTTGCGCAATTTGATGAACAAAGAGTTCGATATTAACGAGACGGAAATGTCGATTAACTGAATGTGTCGATATAAAATCGGAAGATGAGGAAAGAAGGTAAGAGAAGACTATTTTAACATTAGTTTATAAAAAAAGTAACAGCATGTGATTCTGACACTGTTGTGATTTAAATAATCAAATGTACAGGGCATTCTGAAAGTTAATTTTTTTATTTTGTTTTAAAATAATTTATTTAATTCAAGTTCGATTAGTCCCTCATTTGGCACAACCACTAAAAAAATTTTTCGATGCAAGAAACGACTCAAGAAATGGCAAAAAATTACATATTTAAGAATTATTGTTAATTTTGAGATTATTTTTTTTTTAATCTCAAGGGATAAACTGCATCTTTTATCCATTTTTTTAAAAAGAAAATGTTTTTTTTTTAATTGAAAAAACGAACAAATTAATTTCTTAATATTCCCAATACTACACGATCGTCAAAAAAGTTATTTTTATTTGAACATAAGGGAAAGACTTGGGTTAGTTTTGAAAAAATTTATTATTCCTTTTCTTCTGATATTTGACATTTTTTGACCAAGAAAAATATAGTTTTTTGCAAAACAAAACATTTTCAATTTAAAACAATCAATAAAAGATGTAAAATGAAAGAAAAGTCGCAGCGGTTTGAACTGTCGAGTTTTTTGAGATTTGAGGTTAAAAAACAACAGAAAATATTTTTAGTCTATTCGTCATTCATAAAGTTATCTCAAGTTTAGCAAAAATCCTTAAATGTGCAATTTTTTGCCTCTTTTTGAATCAAGTTCTTTGCATCGAAAACCTTTTTTTTTATTTAAAAAATGTTAAGAACGTCTTATAGAAGTCATTGGAAAGAGAAGTACATTTTTTTACTGGACGATTTCTTGAAGGCAATCAACGTTAAAACTTCGAGCTTGAGTTTGCTTGTTTTTTTTTTTGCTGTATGACCATTTTTCAACATGTTATGTATTGCAAAGCAGTGTTCTCTAGGGGCCTGATTGTATTAAAGACCTAGGTATTATATTTGACGCACGATAAGAACCTTTAATCTGCCCTTGTTGTTCTCGTGCTGGGCTCTGTGAGAGGCGAGAATGACAAGAGCAGATCAAAGGCGCTTCGCTAAGGATAATATAGTGCAGCGTAGGTTTGTAGCTGGCGACTACCTGGTACATATGCCAGGAAAAACCGTCGTACTTTAAAGAAGAAGGAGCTCGTGAAGCTAACGAACTTATAATTGAATATTTGTGAAAATGCCTAGAACTTACTATCTTGTATAATTACAGAGCCGATATCTTCCCGCTCATTAACATAAAGGCACATATGTCCTTAATAAATTTTTATTAAAGCACTATATTATGGCATGTGTAACCTTAAAATATTCAAAAATACGTATATCCGCCATAGCCAATTAAGAGTTTAATTTTTAGCAAATCAGAACCTTACATTTGAATATAAGAAGCCTTTCTATGCTTCAACATGTGACACGTCATATTACTCTTGTATTTTGTTTCATAATCGCAGTCGTTAGACCTGTAGGTACATTTGAACCTGTGAAGGATCTTTATTTTTCAGTAGGTGCTGTTTGATATAACTTCAGTATTAGCAGCAGTCCTCACGCCTATATATTGGAATGTGGGAAGGATCTCGATGGGTTAGTTGGTGCCTTTTGATATGACTACAGTATTTAGTTTCATAACTGCAGTGGTTACACTTATATATTTGAATCTCTGAAGGATCCTTATGCTTCAGTTCGTGCTGTTTGATATTCGCCTTGTACTTAGTTTCATAATCGCATTCGTTACACTTGTACATTTGTATCGCAGATGTATCTTTATGTTTCACTTGGTGCAGTCTGATATTTCTCTTGTATTTTGTTCTGTAATCGCAATCGTTACACCTGTACATTTGAACCTGCGTAGGATCTTTATGTTTCAGTTGGTGCTGTTTGATGTCGTACTTGTATTTTGTTTCGTAACCGCAGTCGTTACAGTTGTACATTTGAACCTGTGAAGGATCTTTATGCTTAAGTTCGTGCTGATTGATATGCCTCTTGTATTTAGTTTCGTAATCGCAGTCCTTACACCTGTACATTTGAACCTGAGATGGATCTTTATGTTTCAGTTGGTGCTGTTTGACAGCACCCTTATATTTGGTTTCATAATCGCAGACGTTACACTTGTACATTTGGACTTGCGAAGGATGTTTATGCTTCAAATGGTGTATTTTGATGTTTGTCTTTAATTTAGTTTCGTACTCGCAGATGTTACACCTGTACATTTGAACCTGAGAAGGATCTTTATGTTTAAGTTCGTGCTTTTTGATATAACTCCTGTCTGTAGTTTCATAGTCGCAGTCGTTACACTTGTATATTTGAATCTGTGAAGGATCTTTATGCTTTAGTTCGTGCTGTTTGATATGCCTCTTGTATTTAGTTTCGTAATCGCAGTCCTTACACCTGTACATTTGAACCTGAGGTGGATCTTTATGTTTCAGTTGGTGCTGTTTGACAGCACCCTTATATTTGGTTTCATAATCGCAGACGTCACACTTGTACATTTGGACTTGTGAAGGATCTTTATGCTTCAGATAGTGTATTTTGATGTTTGTCTTTAGTTTAGTTTCGTAATTGCAGATGTTACACCTGTACATTTGAACCTGTGAAGGATCTTTATGCTTCAGTTGGTGCCGTATCATATAATCCCTGTACATGGTTTGATAATCGCAACTGTAACACCTGTACGTTTGCACTTGCAAAGGATCCTTATGTGCCAACTGATGTTTGATAAAAAGCCTCTTATTCTTTGATTTGTAGTTGCAATCATCGCATTTATAAATTGGTTGTTGTGTAGTGTCCGTGTCTGGCAATTCGTTGTATTTGCCTACATCATATTTACATCCATCCTCTTTTGCATCTTTACAGTCACTGTTTGCCAATGATCCATTATCGGAGCACCGCGGTGACGTGTTCCTGGAAAAATTACATATATAGGGCATTTTTGAAAATCAGATTTGAAATTTAAGGGGCTATATGTTATGCTCCACAGGAAATTACTTTAATAAAAAGTTTTATAAGAACTGACATAAATCAGTTCTTGTTTGTCATTTCCAGTGTTGTCAAGTTTAGACATTTTAATAATAGCTTTTACTGTAAGTTTCAGTTTTTTTTTGGTGGGTTAGTGTCAATTTTGGTGTTAGTGTACGCTTGTTGAGGATATTAATGTTAGTAATAATGAAAAACTATAACCATCGCTCTAATGTGCGAGTTTATGTGTTATTTAAATATACACTGTACTTCCAAAAATTCATACAAATCTTACCTCATTTCCTCATATTCCGGCTTTATGTCAACACATTCAGTTTTGATGGGCATTTCCATCTCGTTAATACTGATTTCAATGTCCGGGTGTTCAATCTTAATGAATAAATCAGATGGCAACGTATCTATTTGACTTTTTGTGGCTGAACTACTTCTAACTTTTTCTTCTTGTAAGCAATTTTCTAGGAAACTGCTGTGACTGCACGGAGAATGGAAGCATGACTCACATACAATGGGATCTTTGATATTTATATTCTGTAAATTTGTTTAATTAAATTGCGGAAATGCAAATATTTAATATCGTACATACCATTTCAGGCGTCGATTTCTGAATAGTTTCTAGTTCCTTTTCCTCTTTGCAGATAAACTCAGTTTTATTTTGCATTGCGTATAACCTACATGCATTCGACATCCAATTTCTGAAATATATGTAAACAAATTAACTTATGGTTGGTTTATAAAAAAGTATTAGTCCTAACTTAGTCTTAGTCTTAGTATTAACCTTTACACTAACCTCAGTATTAGTCCTAAGAATAGGTACACGTTTATAAAAACAATGTGCGGTCCTAATTTTATTAAGATTAACCAATGAGCGATTCGACTACGCGCATGGCTAGTAATATCACAGCATAATACTTGTTTATTATTCTGTGGTAATGTTATTTTATTTGTTTTGTTGGTGAGTGAAAAGAAAAATATAACCTATTACTATGGTAATGGCGTATTGGCGACCACCATAGACAAAGACAGGAGGTCACTATGCTACGAAATGCAATACTTGTGCATGCGCACTTCTCAGATCTTAGTCTTAATCCTAGAAAAATTAAAAGATGCGAACTTTCAAGGTCATGTCTTAAGACCTCCTTACGACTAGGGATTTTTATAAACCGATACATTACATTCTGTACATTTAACTTTTTAGGACTAAGATTAAGGTTAAGTTACGGCTAAGTTAGGACTAATACTTTTTTATAAACCAACCATTAGTGATAAAATAATAACAAATTAAAAACAACAATTGACCAAGTCGCTGTACACAATGATGAGATTATTGAGAGTATGAAATGAGAAACAGAAACTAACAACATTCACAGTCACAGACTTACCACTTTCACCAAGAGAAGTCGAGTATGTCCCTAATAGCTTTGTCTATCACTTCAAAACTTTTATCGGTTATAGTTTTAAGGCAAATTCAACACGAAATTTCTGGAACAGCAATATAACCACAATTCAAACATGAGTTAAATAGTTCTTATTCTTCTTCCTCTTCTTCTAATGTAGGAACAATAAGCCTAGATCCACATTTATGCGAGATGACAGTTGTTGTAACATTTTTTTTACTCACGGCTAATATTCACTTCATTAGAACATGGCGTTTTTAGTTTACATCTAAATATGAAGATTCTTTTTCACCTGCACGTTGTAAGATGTGTAAATAGCGAACTGCAAAACATAGGCGAAAGAATAGAACTGGCAATGCGCCATTATTCTATGGCTAGAAATTGGCCTCAATGATTTGGGATCGAGGGGGATTATCCCTCTTTATCCTGCCTCATCTCGTGTAGGCCCTTCGTAGGTGGGCCCCATCCGTCGTCTACCTCGACCGCAGATGCGGCCGGTGTAGGCGCTTTGTGGGACCTCCTTTTGTCCTGGCTGGGCCCCGCCGACTAGGGCCCTTTCTTCTGGCGCTCTTGCTTCGCCGGCTCGTCTGTGTAAACCCCGGGGGTAGTGTCATGTTTATGTGTGGTATGGTTGGGTAGGGTAGTGCGGCTATGCAGCCTGGGATGCGCTTTTCTAAGGTGGCCCTTAGGCTAGCGCGGGAGGGGAGGGGAAAGGAGGGTATGGGGGGTGTGTATGTGTGTGTGTGTGTGTGTCGTTGTCTTCGTTTCTTGATCCTGGCTGTCTCTGAAACAGAAAAGGTTAGCGGGCAGGGGGGGTCATTGGGGTGGTCACCCAGGGTCAAAAAGTTGGTGTCTAGGTCTTTTGTGTTTGTCGGTCACGTCGGGTACGTAGTCAACGGCTTGCCTGAGGAGGGGATTGTCATGTCTAGCGGCTACGTCAAATCGTTTCTCCGCGTTTTGTCTTATTGTCTGTGACACGAGAGATCAACAGAGTAGTTCTCTTACACAGACGAGCCGACGAAGCAAGAAGAGCGGCAGAAGAAGGGGCCCTAGCCGGCGGGGCCCAGCCAGGACAAAAGGAGGTCCCACAAAGCGCCTACACCGGCCGCATCTGCGGTCGAGGTAGACGACGGATGGGGCCCACCTACGAAGGCTGTCCAGGCCTGCACGAGATGAGGCAGGATAAAGAGGGATAATCCCACTCAATCCCAAATAATTGAGGCCAATTTCTAGCCATGGAATAATGGCGCAAACAGAGTGGTTACTTCTCACATGATTAACAAAAGTTATTGATGCTTTAAAACTAATCTAGTCCCTCATTTCTCTTCTAGAGGCTAGAGTCTAGTCTAGAATTTTGTAGAAAACAGATTCTCTATCACAGTTGCGCCTACTTATAGGCCACCAAAAATACATTACTATTCTGCAGCGGAGGATAGCCTATCTTCGTGATCGATCGGGTCACTTGATCGCGGGTAAACTCAAAGTTATGTTAACGTATATTACTCCTTTTTGCTATTAAATATAATTATATATGTAATCTAGCTCTACGGGCCTAGTAGGTCCATGACTTGGTTGACTATCTTTCTCCACTTGTTTCTATCCTTTACCTTTTCTTTCCACCTGACAATTCCCAGTTGTTGTAAGTCCCTTTCCACCTCAGTTTTCCATCTTGTTTTCGGTCTTCCTCTCCTCTTCTTACCGCCAATTGTTCGTTCCATTACCATTTTTGGGATCCTTGTACCTGGCATTCTTTCAATATGTCCCATCCATCTTAATCTTTGCGCTTTTATCACATTTAATATACTTGCCTCCTTATATAAGCTTTTTATTTCATTTGTTCTTCGAAACCATTACTTGGCGCTGGCACCATATTGTCTCCTTCTATGTTGCTATTATTTTCTTCTTAAATATAATTCCAACTCCTTATATTGTAATACACATGTACAGGGTGTCTCACGGTGAGGGCCCATTAGAATTATTTCAGAGACTACTTCGATTTGAATTCTGAAAATTTGGGATACCGGGTTTTCGGGCATGCCCTTCTCAACTAAAATAATGGCGTCCACGTAGCACTTCCGGTTATACCGGAAGTCGCCATCAATTTGCTTATTTTAAATGGAACACCCTATATATTGTTGCAATTTTGGATTCTATGTTTCCCCTATTCCTAAAATTAACCGTTTTCGAGATATTTAATTTTTTTCAAAAAAATTTAGAGAAACAGTGACTAACTTCAAACCATGTGTATTTTATTGTAAGAAAGATAAAGCAACAATATTTATAGGGGGGATAGCTAGACCCCTAAGCTTCCCATAAATACTTTCAAAGAGGCTTAATTGCATACAGGGTGCTAGAAATTTAATGCCGAGTTTAGTTAATTTCAATACATACAAAATGTTTTATGTTCTAGGTGTTCTATTTTCAAACATGAATTCGAAAAATGACATAAAGGGCCATTTTCTAGGTAAAATTTGTACCTTCATTACTTCCACTTCTTACAGTATTCAACTAAAATATGTTATTTTATTAGAATTACACCTATAGTACAATATTACCTCGAAGTTTAACAGACAGAGATACATTTTCGCATGCTCTATCAGTAAGTATATAGTAAGCTTTTATAATTTATTCTTATAACATATATGTTAATTACTATTGATAGACGTCTTGAGAAAGAATCGTTGATTCAAAGTGTGGTCGTAACAACTGTTAATAGTAGATATTCAGGCAGTTATTTTTACAATTCTGATTTAATAATAACACACCTGCATTAAATTAAATGTCACAAAAGCTTCGCTTTTGATAAAATATTTCTTGTAACTGAACAGCAACTTACATAAATTGCTAGACCCTCAATTTTGAAAGTTATTATTATTCTTTAAAAAATGTACTTTCAAATTCAAGTCTCTTGTAAGCATGTAGCTTATCAAAAATTGGTCAGAATTAGTTTTTTCACATCATTTACAGCTTTTGTCAGTAAACAATTTCTTTAGATTGCAGTATTTACACAGCTACAAAGACTAATAACGTTTCTCATCAGAAGTGAAGTTAAATATAAGCACAATAGAACTTAGTTCCTTACAGAAATCAGATATTTTATTGGTTTTTTCAAAATTCATGGCAGAGAAGGTCGATATGGACACACTATGTAGTAAGTCGTGTTCTACATACGGTGCAGATAGCTGAGGTAATAGTAGCAGAAATATGGCAACACTGTTACACTTTTCGTATATTTTTTTGTTCTCAAAGATATGACAAACAAAACTTACTTAACGTACATCGAAACATGTATTTTTGAACAATTAGAATCATAACTGTAACATACAACGTTATAAAGACAGCATGTAGACTTAAGTCATATTTAATTCATTTAATGTTACAGTACAAATAAAGTCCAAAACTTAACACTACGTCTTAATATTATCAAATATGAAAACTTTTATCATTATTAATTAAGAATCTTTTAAAGTTAAATAGAAAAGAGCATTGATCCAATCTTTCATCAAAATTATTTGATATTTCATAATTCACATATTCCTAGAAAAAGTCTTAGTCTACAAAATTGTTGCATTTGCATAAAACTGAACAATCAGGTGCAAACGCCACTATCTTCAGAGTGATTGATAATTAGAACATTGCAAGCACAGCGAAAACGGCTGTACAGGGTTCCAAGCTCCAAAATATGGCGGCTCGAGATTTCCTTTCAGACTGTTGTGGAGTGAGTTGTAAAAGTGTCCCAGGTCTTGCCCTGCCTGATGATGGTTGGAGTTTGGTAAGATTTTGTTTGTAAATTATTAAACTAGCCTCCAGATAGGAAATTTAACAAAACCAATGCCTTATATTCGTTCTTTTTATGTGATTTGTGTGTTTGGCTATTCGAAAACTAATATATCGTTATTTGTGGAATACTGCCTTTGAGTTATACCCCAGTTCCACCAAGGTAGGTAAATTGAGTCCAGCGAGTTATTTTTGAAAATAACAAGTAATGGATAATATTTCTTTTTTAATATCTCTAGAAATATATTTTGAAAATCATTGTCTATATGGAAGGTAAGGACCTATTACTTTTTCTACATCGTAAACTCTATCATCATTTAAAATACACATGTACACAATTATTTCGCTCTGAATATTGCCATCGCTGTCATATTCACATTTGTAGCTCATACATGCTTCCATTTCTGAATATACTTCGTACGAAGGGTAGTAATCCACATCTGCGGACGTTTTTTCCGCATCAAATGAGATCTCTTCAAAGACTTTTTAAGGTTTGTTGTTTTAGCAAAACATATCAGTACAATTGCACTTACGAAAGCTCTTTGTGTTTCAAAACGTGATATTTAATACTATTCTTGTATTTAGTTTCGTAATAGCAGTCGCTACACCTGTACATTTGAACCTGTGATGGATTTTTGTGTCAGTTGGTGCTTTTTGACAGCATATCAATATTTAGTTTCATAATCGCAGTCTTTACACCTGTACATTTGAACCTATGAGGACTCTTTATGTTTCAGTTTGTGCTTTTTGATATCACCTTTGTATTTAGATTTATAATCGCAGTTGTTACATCTGTACATTTGAACCTCTGAAGGATTTTTATGTGTCAGTTCGTGCTGTTTGATATAGTTCCTGTATTTAGTTTTGAAATCGCAGTGGTTACACCTATAAGTCTGGACCTCAGATGGATCTTTATGATTCTGTTGGTGCTGTTTGATAACATTCTTGTACTTAGTTTCGTAATCGCAGTCGTTACACCTGTACATTTGAACCTGTGAAGGATCTTTATGTTTCAGTTGGTGCTTTTTGATATTACCTTTGTATTTAGTTTTATAATCGCAGTTGTTACATCTGTACATTTGAATCTCTGAAGGATCTTTATGTTTCAGTTGGTGCTGTTTGATACAATACTTGAACTTAGTTTCGTAATCGCAGTCGTTGCACCTGTACATTTGAACCTCTGAAGGATCTCTATGTTTCAGTTGATGCTTTTTGATATACTCACTGTATTTAGTTTGGAAATCACAGTACTTACACCTGTACATTTGAACGTGAAAAGGATTTTTATGTTTCAGTTGGTGCTGTTTGATATTACCTTTAAATTTAGTTTCGTAATCGCACTCGTTACACCTGTACATTTGAACTTGAAAAGGATCTTTATGTGTCAGTTGGTGTGATTTGATATGACTCTTGTATTTAGTTTCATAATCACAGTTGTTACACCTGTACATTTGAACTTGAAAAGGATCTTTATGTGTCAGTTGGTGCGATTTGATATGACTCTTGTATTTAGTTTCATGATCGCAGTTGTTACACTTATACATTTGAGCTTGCGAAGGGTCCTTATGTTTCAGTTGATGTACTTTGATAACATTTTTGTATTTAGTTTTGAAATCGCAGTCTTTACACCTGTACATTTGAACTTGAAAACGATCTTTATGTGTCAGTTGGTGTGATTTGATATGATTCTTGTATTTAGTTTCATAATCGCAGTTGTTACACTTGTACATTTGAACTAGCAAAGGATTTTTATGTATCAGTTGATGTACTTTGATAACACTCTTGTATTTAGTTTTGAAATCGCAGTCGTTACACCTATACATTTGAACCTCTGAAGGATTTTTATGTCTCAGTTGGTGCTGTTTGATATGACTTCTGAATTTAGCTATATAATCGCAATCGTTACACTTGTACATTTGAACTTGCGAAGGACCTGTATGCTGTACTTCGTGGTTTTTTAAACTTTGCTTGTATTTAGTTTCAAAATCACAGTCACTACACCTGAACATTTGCACCTGTGATGGATCTTTATGTTTGAGTTGGTGCCTTTGAAGTAATTTCTTATGTTCAGTTTTATAATCGCAGGTTTCACACTTGTACACTTCTGAGTCTTTCTTGTGTCTCCCACAATGTGCTCTAGAACGGATCTTACTTCCAGTTTCGTAACTACATTTATCACATCTGTACGATACATTGCGCTCCTGTTTAGTTTTCATATATTTGTTCACTGATCGATTCTCCGGTTTACATCCGTCCTCTCCTGCATCTTTACAATCACTCTTCTCGAATGGTTCATTATCGGAGCTCTGCGGTAGCGTGTCACTGAAAAAATTGCATATACAGGATATTTTCCAATGCTAGGTAGGACATTACAAGAAAAAAACTTGAAACATACAACAAGAACTGAAATTATAAGGTTAACTGCAAGAAAATATAAAAGCATATTTACTTAGAAGTGTAGGTATTTTTCCGAATCTGTAAATGTAATCACTTTTGTTACTTTTTGGAATGAGATCTACACACAACTACTCCAACAACAAATTTTATTTAAATCAGACAAAGCGTTTTAGGGTTACATGGACAAAAATAAAAAAAAATGTATCAACTTGGACGTCTTTTAGTGGCGAAACAAAGCAATTTGGCATCAAAACGTCATATGATAGAAGCTTTGTGTGGGTTCTTATGTGGAACAGAAACTGTCGGTGGAAGACTAATAACTTTCCACCCACGAAAATATCTGACATTTATATTTAAAATATCGCTACACTCCAACTGAATCATTTCCATTTGAAGAGATAGTGGAAGAGATGTGGGCGAAACAAGTAATAGGTTTGTTTGTTATTCTAGAGTGTAGAGCGAGCAGTGTCAGAGCTTTGATTAGGTGATTCCCGAAAACCCCAAATAAAAAAAAAGGAAAGATTATGAATTACTGTGACATAAGCTTATCAGGTATGCATAGTTAAATGAGCTCAGCTGGCATCTTCACAAAGGATAGGCAAAATAATTCTCGCTTTGAAAATGGTAAGTTCACAAGCACTTAATGTAATTTAAAAAAAAAACAAACAGCTGTTACCGTTTTCGAGCTACAAGGCGAAATCGACTGGGGCCCCTTTCTCGTTTTCCTTTCAACATTCGATGGCATAAAAATAAATGTGATAATATCTTTAATTTTTGTGATATGACCACAACTTGCGTTTATTATATGGAACACCCTGTATCTTATTTCAAAAAGGGAAAGAGCTGAAAATGCGCTCAAAAAATATATAACTATTTTTTGCGTAGATTCGCGAATATAAAATTTCCAAAATACCCACGATATTTCGTTTTCTGACTGAGAAGGCTTTGAAAAAAAACAAGTTTGACGTTTATCATTATTAGAAACGCGTTAACACAAATCAAAAACGGTTTTTTATATATTCAATCTACAATACAGTATTTTTACATTTCTTACCTATCAATATTACTCATTAAATAGAATTTTCCATGATTGCGGACGCCATATTGGAACCGCCATGATGTTTTTTTTTTAAATCACCAGACGGCATTCGATAGAGTTTTTAAATACGAAGCTTTTGACACGTCGAACGTCAATATTGATGCATTTTTATTCTGGGCAGCCCACTGTGCTCGGTGATGTGAAACGTCCGTTACATATTTTTGGAATGCATTTTTAGCCCTCTTTCCGTGTTTGAACTAAGATACAGGGTGTTCCATATAAAAAAAATATAAGTTGTCATATCACAAAAACTAAAAATATTATCACATTTAAGTATTTTTTTGTCATATCTCAAAAAGGAGCCTGTAGAAAGTTCAAACCGTTTTAAGATATCTTGAAAGGGAAACGAGAAAAGGGCACTAGTCGGCTTAAAAATCGAGAAATGCCCCGTAGCTCGAAAACTATAACAGATAGAGAGATGCAGTTGGAATCAGACAAAGGATTTCGTTTTTATTTTATTAGTAGGAAATTCAGATCAAACAGATGTTATCCTTATAGGCCACGAGCCCACGTACAAAGAAAAAAATGATTATCAACAAGCTGTAACTTTGCGTGCAGCTTAAGTTTGAAGAGTCTCCCAAGATTTGACTACGAGGAAAATTCAGTGGTAAGTATTCCCGTGATTTTCGGGAAAACATGTCGATCTGGCATAAACATGGAATGTTATGACCAGCACTTTCTTTTTAAGTTTAAATGAAAGATATATTTTTTTAAACTCCCCAAAAAAATTGTCCGACAAAAATGTTGGTTGGTTATGGTTGGTGACAACCGGCAAGCTGATTTTTCTGGGAGGGTTTGGTAAAAAGATTTGAAATGAAAGTATCTTATTATCCGACAAAATTCTTGAGAAGTTTTTGCAGTCCGACGCCCCGAAGATGTCGACATAACGACAACATGGATGGTGATAACCAGCAATCTGGTTTTGATTTTTTTTATCTATAATTGAAATGTATAACACAATAATATACTTGTCCGCCAAAAAGATTGGAAAATTTGCCTTGAAAATGGGAAAAATTACTATTTTTGTGGTACCTAATGTTCATTCCACTATAATTCATTTTTTAATGAAAAAATAAAGAAGAATAAATAAGAAAATTATCTTGTTAACAGGAGCGACAGAAATTGAAATTCATAAATAATTTAATTAATCTCCATCAATATGGTTTCTTTGTTCAAAAAACTTATATGTACATTTTATTTTATAAACTATTGTAACTATTTTATAAAAAAATGGTAACTGTATAATGAATGCATAAATCTTTGCTTGTGTTTTTTTAAATTAAAACTTGCAATCTTGTTTTGACAAACAGTTTACACATAGTTTTATTCTTGAAAATCCAGTTAAACCAATTTTAAAAATATTATTATACATTTATCAACGCATTTATTAAAAGATTGTGCTGCCAAAGTTCTTAACAGGTGTTTATAGTTTCTCCATAAACAACTGATTTCATGTAACCCCAAAAACGGAAGTGTCGGCATTCCATTTCACATTTATGTACATACAATTTAAATTAAGATGTTATTTTAGGTACGAATAATACTTAATGGACAGTAGCATACAAATGACAGCAATAAGACAAATGGAGTATGTCAATTATTTGATTTTCATCCAAACTTAAGAAACTTCACCGCTAAATTAATAATAGGTAGGTACTTCATTGTAATTTAATTCAACAGCATTGGAAGTTTCATAGGCAAATATCTCGAAAGTGGTGCGAGGCAGCTAGTTTTATAAAGTGCAGCTTTTTTGTGTAAAAAAAGTTGGAAAATAAGAATTTGATACCACAGATACCTTAAAGTATAAAAAAGTTATGCCGGTTTTAACACATTCAACCTACTGCAGCTAGCGCCCTCTATGTACTTTAAGCAAAATGTGAACACATTTCAATTCCTCTACTTAAAGAACTCCAAACCTCAAAATTTTGCGAGGATATTTGCATTTGTTAAGGAATAAATGAAAAAAAACTAAAATAATATTTTACATTTAACACCCTGTATCTCTTTAACTATCAACTTTTGGACTAAGCTAAGTTCGGCTAAATCGCAATATTTTTGCTTCGAGAATCTATCCATGAATTTTGACTTATTAGCCCGGGACCACCCTGTATACAATTTTTTTGTAATTGTATAAAAAAATAAATTTAAATTAGTCATATTTATTTTGAAATTTGAGAAATTTAAACAAATTTTTTTTATTCATATATTTTTTTTATTAAATATAAATTTTTCTTCTACATCATGCGTAAGTATTGAAACCGCAAAATTTTATAGTTTAATTTTCTCGGACAAGCAAAAAAACCGATAATTTTGTCGGACAATTAAATTCTCAGATTAATATTGCATTTTTTTAAATAATGACGCTTTTGTCCGACAGCTGGTTATCACCAACCATGTTGTCGTTAAGTCGACATCTTCGGGACGTCGGACTGCAAAAACTTCTCAAGAATTTTGTCGGACAATAAGATACTTTCATTTCAAATCTTATTACCAAACCCTCCCAGAAAAATCAGCTTGCTGGTTGTCACTAACCATAATGTCACCAAATTGACATATTTGGGGTGAGGAACAAACTCAAAATACCAACATTTTTGTCGGACAAATTTTTTGGGGGGTTTAAAAAAATATATCTTTCATTTAAATTTAAAAAAAAAGTGCTGGGCATTTTGTTTTTAAATTATGTTCGTCGACGTTTCTATCTAGATTCATTATTATTTATAGCCCTGATCAAGATTTTAAATAAAATTTTGGCCTTGTCAGAAAAGTATTGTTTCAAAGTTTATCTTGTTTTAAAGAATTATAGACAATTTAAAAAAAAATGTAGCAATAGGAGTGATTGACACAAGTAAAATTTTAAATTTAAAAATTTTGTGCCGAGGTAGATGCAGGACTGGTTTTTTCTGTACAAAAAAAGAACACTCTGCTTCTACAGGGTGATTCATTAACGGTTCAAAATTTAAACTTTCAAAGCAATAATATGAAATTATTGGATCACTAGAAAAATGTTAAATGCTGCATAATTCAATAAAAAATTTAAAGCTCTTTCCACTTACTTATAATCCTCAGATTTTAATTCAATTTCTTCTGTGATCACACGAAGGGAACTTTTTACGGCTTCGTCGCTTGAAATATTTTTAATTTCCTCTTCCACATTTAAACAATTTCCTAAAAAGCTTGTGTGGGTGTCCAATGAATCGAGGCAAACTTGGCATATAACGGGTTCTCTGACGGAATTGAAGTTCTGCAAGAAACAATCTATCCCAATGTTTTTTTCCGAGAGACGAATATACTTGAATATACTTTGAGAAATTTATTTCTAAAATCAAATATACTTACCATTTCCGGAATATATGTGCGGAACATATCAACATCCACCTCTTTTATTGACGTAAACCCACAGGTGACTACCTGCATACACATTCGACAAATCCTCTCGTCTTCTAATATATGTTTTAAATGCTCTTTACCTCTTTCCTTTAGATAAATTTCATTTAAATCGACTGGCGCCCCCATTTCAGAATAAATGTATGGAAAGATACAGTCCTCGGTATCCATACACGTTGCCTTGAAATTAAATGCCGCAAACAGTTTAGTGGAACAAGTGTGGCACATTATGGATTTGTCTTTCTCTGTGCCGTTCTAAAATGTAAATCTCAGAAATGTCTAAAACATTACAGAGGTTTAACTTTTCTCACCAGTTTCATCAAAAGGACGTCCAGGACTTGTTCAATAATTTCGTCTATTACTACGAAATTACCAGTATTCAAGTTAGTAAGGCAAAGCCTACAGGACATAGCCTCCTTGTTTATACTTTTCTCAAATTTCGACATTAGTATTGTTAAAACTTTCAACGAAATACGAAAACACGGATTAGTAACCCTAACCTCACATTAAACTTCATTCATCCGAAACCACACGGAGCTAGTGAAGAGTTGTCAGATTCTCGAAAACTAATATCGCCACTTTAACGGGAAGAAATAGCCAAAAATAACCAACCTTCCCTTCCAACATTAAATCATAGTCATTACATACGGCAGTAAATTATTGTTAAATAAATGCAGCCCCATTATCTTCCGCCCGTTGTTTGGGTTTTCTCTTCTCTCTTCTGTGAGAATTTGATTTGAATTTTGAATATTCTTTACCCTGGTTATTAGATTAAAAGATTAGGTCAGTCTTCAGCTTTCTTCAAATTTATTTATTTTTGGCAAGTGACAGAAGTAGGAAACAACTACTCAAGGGAAAACAAGAAAATACGTATACCATATGTTAACAAATATAAATACAGATACTCCACAAAAATATATAAATAAAAATTATGTTAAATTAAGACATTGTTGATGCTCAAAGTCATTTAAAGTTTGAATTATTAGTTCCATTTTCCCTGCAGTTTCAAGATCAATTCGAATGATTCGATAATCGAAGTAATCGAATTATTTCGATTATTTATTTGAAATATCTCGAGATAATTTAGTAGTTTTAAAGCCATGGCTCACTTGTGTATAATATTGCACAGCTGCTCTTCCTAAGAATCGAATTATCGAATCGAGTGATGTTAGACTGATTGTGAGAGAGATGCCAAATAGAAGTATATTAGTTGTAAAAGGGAGATCTAAAGTAATACGTAATATGAGACACGCGCCATTATTCTATGGCTAGAAATTGGCCTCAATGATTTGGGATCGAGGGGGATTATCCCTCTTTATCATGCCTCATCTCGTGTAGGCCTGGACAGCCTTCGTAGGTGGGCCCCATCCGTCGTCTACCCCGACCGCAAATGCGGCCGGTGTAGGCGCTTTGTGGGACCTCCTTTTGTCCTGGCTGGGCCCCGCCGGCTAGGACCCTTTCTTCTGGCGCTCTTCTTGCTTCGCCGGCTCGTCTGTGTAAACCCCGGGGGTAGTGTCATGTTTATGTGTGGTATGGTTGGGTAGGGTAGTGCGGCTATGCAGCCTGGGATGCGCTTTGCTAAGGTGGCCCTTAGGCTAGCGCGGGAGGAGAGGGTTAAGGAGGGTATGGAGGGTGTGTATGTGTGTGTGTGTCGTTGTCTTCGTTTCTTGATCCTGGCTGTCTCTGAAACAGAAAAGGTTAGCGGGCAGGGGGGGGGGGTGTCGTTGGGGTGGTCACCCAGGGTCAAAAAGTTGGTGTCTAGGTCTTTTGTGTTTGTCGGTCACGTCGGGTACGTAGTCAACGGCTTGCCTGAGGAGGGGATTGTCATGTCTAGCGGCTACGTCAAACCGTTTCTCCGCGTTTTGTCTTATTGTCTGTGTAGCGTATGTGTATTGTAAGTCTCGTAATATGTCAGTGTTTCTTACGTACCAGGGCGCGTCGGTGGCCGTGCGGAGGGCTATGTTTTCCACAGCCTGTAATGACTTTAAGTGGCTTTTTGCCGCGTGACCCCACGCCGTGGAGGCGTAGGTTAGCTGTGGTTGAAGTACCACCTTGATAAGCGTTCGCTTATTCCTTAAACTGAGGGTGTTTCCACCTTTGAGTAAGGGATAGAGCCTAGCCCTGGTGGTCTTCGCTCGCGCCACCGTCTCCACGATGTGCGGTTTCCACGTGAGACGCTGGTCCATCGTCACGCCCAGGTATCGTGTTTGTCGATTCCAGGAGATAGGTTCCTGGGATAGTGTCAGTCTGTCGAGGTTTTGTGGGATTTTTCGTTTGGTAAAAAGGATAGCCGAACTTTTGTTGGGATTAATTTTGACTTTCCACCTGTTCACAGTATACTTATCAATTAGTATACTGTGCACCTGTTGCACCAGGTTTCAATATGAGACATTTGCTCGAGTTGTTGCATAGTGGCGAATCTCGGAATGTAGTAATGTACTACAGTTGTCGAAAAGGTAGCTTTTGTCCCCGTCTTCTTTATTATATGTACATCGTTTCATATCTCTTATTAGGTTGCTAATACAATTCAAATAAAATAAAGCGGACGATTGTACAATCTGAAAATGCCGGCGCCGAAAAGTTATAACATCACCATATAACATTCATCATTTCATAAATCGTAACATAATACTCAATAATCGTGTCATATAATCATATATTACAAATTCGATTATATATCTAGAAGTATTATTTCGATTAAGAAATATTCAATGTTACTAATATCTCGATTATGAAAATATCCCGATTATTCCTCAGACTAATAAATAAAGTACTCTGAGGATTATTCCCATCACTAGAAACGAGACTCGTAAATTAGTTATTAGTTGTAACCAACCTGCAACTACTTCAGTCCCTAATCTACTCCACACATAAAAAATGTACTATTTATTTACACTTGTTTTATCTCTCAAGTTAAATACAAGGTAAGAATTGTAATTTTTACATACGAAATAAGGACTGTGTATTTATATTTTCAATTATATTAGGTCTACTGTATTATTTATTTATTTTTGTAACTTTCCATTTTGTTTTATAAATATCAATTTTAGATCAAAAATTTGTAAAAATTTTCAATAAACTCACGAAATCAATTTTAAAAATCATGTTACGACTGGGAATTCGCGCAAGACTAAATAAACATACCTTATTTCCGCTATTCGGTCAAATGAATAAAAATAAAAAAAATACTGATAGGCGTATTCGCTCAAATTTCACACGACCCCTGCCATGGCACGCGTACAATGGAACGTGTTTTGGAACTTCTATCGTGTGGAATAATTCTTAAGGCGGAAACTCGGAAAGAGAGCTCACAGACTAGGCGAGCCCACAAAACGGAGAAACGCTCTTTTAAAAAATTACGTCAACCAAAAAAGCAAAACGAATTAGCAAAAAGGAAGAAACGGAGCGATTTCACCTGCTCAGTGAGCCGAATCAGTCATATTCCGCCCATCTCTATTCCTAACCTCAACTAAGCTGTCACTACCGCAAAGAAGTCAAGAAGATTAAAAGTGACAGCTTCATATTTTTTCTCTGTGTTCTGTTTCCCTTTAAAAGATTCTTGTATAGCAATGACTGATGTTAAGGAAATTTCGTGTAAGCTTTGCCTTACAACTATAACTGATAAAGGTTTTGAAGTAATAGACAACATTGTTAGAGATATTCTAGATGGTCTTTTGCTGAAATTGGTAAGTTGGTGAAACATATCAGTTTCTACTATCTCAATTCGTACACCTCTTTACCAACACGTATGTAGCGACTTCACAATAGTTGTTATTTTCTGCCAATTATTTTCTCCGTTTTGTTGGAGTTGTGTATATTTCAGAAATTTGATAGCGAGAGCAAAGGGGTTATATGTAACGTTTGCAGAAGAAAGTTAAACAAGGCGTCAGAATTCAAGTCAACATGTATGAATACCGATAACACAATAGCCCCCTATGTGGATAGCGAGAAAATGTTGCAGCTCGACATAAGAGAGGTGTACATAAAGGAAAAGAAAAGTGAGTTAACTGGTATGTCTAGCAATCAAAAAATATGTCGATTGTGTATGCAACCAGTAAAACGGGAGTTTAGTTGTATACGTGAAGAGGAACTGGAAGCTATTCACAAATTGACGCCTGAAATAGTACGAAGGACATTAAATACTTGCATATTATGTAATTTAACAAAACTGCTTTGTAGAATATAAATATCATCAAAGATCCCGTTGTTTGCAAGCCATGCTTCGATTCTCTGTGTACCCACAACAGTTTCCTAAAAGATTGCTTAGAGGTAGAGCAAAATATTAAAGGCTTTGAAAATTCAGCCACTGAAAATCGAATAGAAACGTCCGCATCTGCCGTATTCATTAAGACTGAAAACATGTACAGAGAATTGGATATTAACGAGATGGAAATGTCGATCAAAGCTGAATATGACATAAAAGATGAGGAAAGGAGGTGAGAGAAGACTATTTAACATTAATTTAAAAAATTTCAGGCGGTGCTTCAGATACGACGATTAAATGCGTACCATCTGTGATAAAATAATTATTAGATTATGTCGGTTATAGACGATATTGTACAAATTTTTAAACAATCATTAAGAGTTAGGTTAACAAATTATTGGGAAAAAATGTTATGGTTTTAAATCAGATATGGGTACAAAGAATGCCGTATTAAATTTAATTCTTTCATTTTATTCTTTAAACCTGGGGCGGAAATCAAAATTTTTTTAAACGAAAGGCAGATTGGCTTGATTTGTACAGTCGTATTAAGTCATTCTTGCAGAAAATTAATTCTTAAGCTATTTTAAAAGTAAAAAAATCTTTTTATATCCATATTTCACATAATTTGATGTTTTTCTTTTAGAAAAACTTTTTAGATGCCTGTATTTTTTGGCATTTCTGCCATATATATTTTCTGAATGTAATTTCGATAGCTTTTCTTATATCGGACATAGGAAAAATATGGAATTTCTCGTAATAGCATCCAATCTTGCAATGAGGTAAAAAATACCTAAAATGTCACACACAAAAATTGATTTTACAAGCAGATAATAATAGTAATAATAATAATAATAATAATAATAATAATAATAATAATAATAATAATAATAATGATATAGGTTTACATTGCGCTTCCTCAGTCTTAAATAGGAATCTTTGGCCTGTCCTTATTATTCTCGGGCTGGGCTGTGTGGGAGCCGAGAACAACAAGGCCAGGCCAAGGACGCCTCGTTAAGGATAAGGAAGTGCACTGTGAAATGTCAAACTGTTTGATCCAAATTTCTTATTAATAAAATATCCAAAAACGAAATTCCTCATCTTATTCCAACTTTATACATGCTTATTACACTATTTAAACAGCATGGAAATTATTTCACTATAATGAAAATGAAATATGCCTTGTGGAATTTATAAACATATAATTGACAGTTTGTTTATGAAAATGTTTGGAACTGAACTCTCCTGATTAATATTTCAATACCTCAAAAAAGTCGAAGAGGAACATCAATAGAAATGACAGTAAGCAGAGCTGCCATCATACGTCTCATTAACTACAGATGTAAATATGTCCGTTCTTATTATTCTTATTCTTTTATTAGAGTGACTTTTTGTTAATAACAATATTTTGGTATGCGTCACTCAAAACCCCTAAAAATTAAACCTGATTTTCAAAACTACCCTGTATATGCAATTGTTTCAGCAACATACCACAGCAGAGCTCCAATATTGTACTATTCGTGGAAAGTGATTGTAAAGACGCAGAAGAGGGTGGATGTAAAGACGAGAATGGAACAGCAAACGAATGTGATACATATAATAGTCATTATATAAAACACAAACGCCTAAACAAACGTGATGCGCGTGATTGTAAAACCAAGAACAAAGCACTGACGTATAGGGATGCTTCACAACTGCCGATTTATAAATGCAAACTTTGCAACTACAAATCAAAGAAAAAGATACTACTTATCGGTCATCAGTTGGTACATAAGGATCCCTCACAGGTCAAGATGTACAGGTGTAATGAGTGCGATTTCGAAACTAAATACAGGGAGAATATCAAACAGCACCAACTGAGACATAAAGATCCTTTACAAGTGCAAATGTATGTATGTAGGGACTGCCCATTCGAAAGTAAATACAAAAGTTGTTTCAATAAGCACCAACTAAAACATAAAGATCCGTCGCAAGTTGAAATGTATATCTGTAAGTACTGCCCGTACGAAAGTAAATACAGGAGTTATATCAAAAAGCACCAACTAAAACATAAAGATCCTTCCCAAATTCAAATGTATAAGTGTGACGACTGTGGTTACGAAACTAAATACAAGAATGGTATCAACCGACACCAACTGAAACATAAGGATTCTTCACAGGTTCAAATGTACAAGTGTAGCGACTGCAATTATGAAACTAAATACCAGGGTGTAATCAAACGGCACCAACTGAAACATAACAAGGTCCAAATGTACAAGTGTAGCGACTGCGATTATGGAACCAAATATAAGAGTCACATTGAACGTCACATGTTGAACCATAAAGAGCCTTCACAAGTGCAAATATTCAGATGTAATATTTGCAATTATGAATCAAATCACAAGCGCAGTTTTACCGAGCATCTTTCGGAGCACAAAGATCCTTCGCAGATTCAAACGTACAAGTGTAACGAATGCAATTTCGAAACTAAATACAAAGGTAATATGAAAAAGCACCAACTGAAACATGAAGATTCTTCGAAGCTTCATATGTACAGATGTAACGACTGCGATTACGAGACTAAATACAAGTATAACATCAAAACGCACCAACTGAAACATAAAGTTTCTTCACAGGTTTAACCGAACAGGTGTAAGGACTGTTAACGACTGTGAAAGAACAGTATTTTTAACTTAATTTCCATTTAAAATTGTGTGGTACATGACAATTTAATTTAAACGAAGATCTTATTTCTCGAATATATTGTAATGTGTATAAGTAAATAGATATAAACAGGAAATTAAAGTATATCTTAGTAGATTTCTGTGTATTTCTGAATAATAGCTATGTAGGTAACCAGTTGAAATATTGTACGCATATGGTGTGTACGATGTGAATGTATGCTTTTGTATAACAAATGTATTTAAGGGACAGATAAGGCCAAACTCGCAATATATTTTGGAATTGCACAGTCTATTTCCTAACATACGAAGTTGATCGTACAATGTCGAAAGCTTTCCATCATTTGCTTCAGTAGAAAATGAATGTTTCTAGAGAATCTATAGCTTTTATCGATTTTTGCAGACATTTGTCCAGTTCTAAAAATTTGTCATCAAAATAAAATTGTACATCTGTCATGTTCTTTTTATTGCAATACATAATTTGTAGATAATTGTAACAGGTTGACTATTTTACTATATGTTTGATTATAATTAATCATTCTTGTTACTCCGATAAAGAAATCAACAAGCAATGGAATAAAAATTAGATTTTAATCATTACTCAGATCTATGACCATCTTAACACNCCCCGGCACAGGTGCTGTAACAAAGATGCCGACGGCGTCTATGCTTAAGCCGGGGATTAGGTCGGTGATTAAAAGGAAAGAAAGGGATTCTTTCCAGGTAGCCTTAATAATGGCAGGTAGAATTTGCTCCTTGCACTACATTTTCACAAAACACGTGTGCTCTGGTCGGCTGCCCGCTAGGAACTGGCCCAAATCATTGAGGCCAATTTCTAGCCATAGAATAATGGCGCGGCGCGAAATAGAATATTGAAGCCATTTTTAGTTAGTCCGTCTTGTACAAGCAGGTGGCGCCACCCACTGAACAACTTTCTGAGATGTTGCCAGCAGGTTGATAATAGATTTTTCTTTGCTTTGAGCAATTTGTTCCGTTACCTAATTTTGCTGATGTTTAATTGAGGTTATAAATCGGCTGCCAGTGAAAATTGCTGCAATGATGAATCCGAATGATTTTAAGGAAACTTCGTGCAGGCTTTGCCTTAAAAGGATAACGGATGAAAGTTTCGAAGAAATAGGCGATGCTACGAGAGATATTCTAGATATTTTTTTACTGAAAATGGTAAGTCTGTACAATAGATTCAAGTACTGTCAACGCTTGTAAAGCAATTTGCAATAATAAACTTATATTACTATTTAATTGGTAAATTTCTTTCGACTTATCTGACGTGTATGTTTCAGAAATTTGTCGACGGAAGCAAAGAGATAATTTGTAATGCTTGTAGAGAAAAACTGAATGCAGCGTTACAATTTAAGACGATGTGTTGGAGTACTGACAACACAATTAATCTGTATATGGATTGCCAGAAAACGTTACGGCTGGATATAAGAGAAGTTTATATGAAATCAAAAGCAAGTGAGCTGTTAACAGATGTTTCGTACGACCAAAAAATATGTCGATTGTGTTTGCAACTAGCAAATAGTGAATTTAGACGCATACTAGAAGAGGAACTCGATATTATTGAGAAATTCATTCCGGAAATGGTATAAATATTAACTACGTGCGTTATTTACAGCTTCAAAAATTGTATTTTGTAGAACATAAACATCGTCAAAGATCCCGTTGTATGTAAACTGTGCTTCGATTCTCTGTGTGCTCACAACAGTTTTCTAAAAGGTTGCTTAGAAGTGGAGGATAAAATTAGAATCTTTTCTGATAGTTCAACCAGAAAGGGACAAGCACATGCATCCTCATCTGATTTATGTATTAAGACGGAAAACATGGACGAAGAATCCGATATAAAAAATATGGAAATACCAATCAAAACGGAATTTGTTGAGGTGAAATCTGAAGTATGTGAAGATGGGAGGTAAGAAAGAGTTAGCTTAATTTGAAAGTTGAGTAAATCATTTTGGGTAGTTATAGCATAGAACTCTCAAACCGTCACAAAGTTAACCTAAAAATTTAACCAATTTATACCGATATAGAGATATATATACTACATAAAATGAGAATTACATTGCTTTTTATTCAGTATAAAAAACTTTACTTTACTTTATTTATGTGCATAAATTTATGCACAAAATTAAGTTAAGTTCAGTTTTTTTGTTTCAAAAGTTAGGTTAGGTCGAGTTGTTTTTTATATTACATAAAAAATGATGGACCGCCAGAGGGCAGCGTAATCAACGCCATCAGTGCTAAGAAAGCATGCTATGAAAAGAGGCAAGTTAATTACTTAAACTGTTGTAATTCGATCATAATTTTGCTGTTTCTTATTAGAGGGCGCCACTTGCAGCATTTCCCATGTCTTTAAAATGTCAACTTTTTTGCTTCTTGGTATATCTCCCTCTTTGATATTTTTTTAAGTTTCCCATATTTACGTAAAAAGGGGTAATTTTTCCTAAATCTTGTCCAATTGTATCATTTTCATAGTATTCATTTGGATGTATAGAAGCTGAGGTATTGCGTAGGAAGTGACAATATGTTTGTGTCATAGGTACAAATATGGAGTTTATACACTCCATAGATCTACCTTTCTGAAGCATGTAATAGCCAGTAGATGGCCTCACTGGAAATACCTATTTTTGAAAAATCCTAATTACAATTTTTACTTTGTTTTTCAAGTTTTTTCTCTTGTATTCTTTTGTTGAATTTCCAAGGGTTTTCACTTAATTTATTGTCATAATCATCATGATAAAATTGAAATAATGCCATGTACAGGCTGGTCCTTTTTCGATGGGAATTCAGGGTATTTCAGAAACTACTAAAGATATGATCAATCTGACACCATATTCTCGAACTCAATTTCCATGGCAATCTTGACTGTCAGATCGGATTTTTGCTATCTTCATTTGTTTCTGAGTTACAGGGCGTTTCTTGTTATTGCGACACTATACGGAAATCGTAGCTGATCATGGCCTAAAAAAATAGAGATTTTTTTCCGCTTTTCAGCAGTATATCACATGCTATAGTTATTTTTATAAACACGGGAGATACGGGGTGTTTTATATATAAATTATATATTTTGTTCCTTTTTAATATGACCGGCTATGAAAATACAGATAAAACTATAATTTTTACTTTTACAAAAGTCATCTGTTGTAAAAATATGACATTTATTTTAAATGCACAACATATATTCGTGTGATAATATAATACTAACGAAATTTTAGGAGATAGGTGGATAGGAACAAACGGACCGATCAGATGGCCAGCTAGATTACCTGATTTGAGTCCCTTGGACTTTTTCCTTTGAGGTTTTCTAAAAGACATTATATTTAAAATTCCTTTTAATAATATTTCAAATACCTATACATTTAATGAATGCTACCCGAAGCATTGCCAGAAGATGCGCGAAATGTGTGACAGTTGAGGGACGGCAATTTGAACATTTAACTACCATTTTTGAAAGTTTTTATTGATGTAGGTACTTACTATTGTTTAATTTACGTTTAATATTGTAACTTCAGTTGAAGTGGAATAAAAATTTGAAAACTCTGTCTTTTCTTATCTGTAATATATATTTTAAATAAACGTCATATTTTTACAACAGATGACTTTTGTAAAAGTAAGAATTATAGTTTTGTATGTATTTTCATAGCCAGCCATATTAAAATGTAAAAAAGGATTGAATGTATATATAAAACGCCCCGTATTTTCTGTGTTTGGAAAAATAACTATAGCATGTGGTATATTGCTGAAAAGCAAAAAAAAATCTCCATTTTTTTAGGTCATAACCAGCTACGATTTCCATTTAAAAAATTATAACTTTGGGTCATAACTCCGGAATCTTAAGACCTACTAAAAATCTAATACTGGCATTCAATTCTACGCCAAAGAAGAATCTTGAGCAGTTTTCACTTTAACTCTAACTTATTTAACAAATGAGATACAGACATGTTCAAAAGTGTCACAATAACGCCCTGTAATTCAGAAACAATTGAAGATAGCAAATTTCCGATCGGACAGTCGAGTTTGCCATGAAAATCGAGCTCGAGAACGTGGTGTCAGATTTATCATATCTTTAGTAGTTTCTGAGATACCCTGAAATCCCATCGAAAATGGACCAACCTGTACAGTTCTGACACTTATAAATACATCATCTGGTATTACATATAACCCGTTAAAATTAAAACCTCGCTTTGGAAAATACTCTGTATATGCAATTTTTTCAGTGACACACTGCTGCAGAGTTCCGATATTGTACAATTCGAGGAGAGTGACTGTAAAGATGCAGAAAAGGATGGTTGTAAACACGAGAATATATCGGAGAATGAATGTAACATGAAAACCAAACAGGAGCACAAAGTATTGTTCAAAAGTGATAAAAGTATTTACGAAACTGGATGCAACAGCTGTTTTACGTCACACTGTGCAAAACAAGAAAACAATTTGGAAGTGCATAAATGTGAATTATGTGAGTATGAAACTGTAAATAAGAAATTACTTCGGAGGCATGTGCTGAGGCATAACCAGACGTACAGTTGTAACGAATGCGATTTCCAAACTAAATACAAGAATTATATCAAACAGCACCAACAGACACATAAAGATCCTTCTCAAGTTCAAATGTACAGGTGTAATGAATGCGATTTCGAAACTAAATACAGGGAAAATATCAAACCACACCAACTGACACATAAAGATCCTTCCCAGGTTCAAACATACAGGTGTAATGACTGCGATTTCCAGACCAAATACAGGAGAACTATCAAACAGCACCAACTGAAACATAAAGATTCTTCGCAGGTTCAAATGTACAGGTGCAACGACTGCGATTACGAAACCAAATATAAGAATAATATCAAACTGCACCAACGGAAACATAAAGATCCCTCACAGGTCGAAATGTACAAGTGCAACGACTGCCAATACGAAACTAAATATAAGAATAATATTAA